TATTTGACACATAATACCATTCGCTTCATCTAAAATAACTACATGAGAATGATCCCCATGAAAATTAAGACAATGTGTACTTTCGACTTGAACAATAATAACATCCTAGTCACATATAGCTATATTATCTTCATTTTCCTGATAATGGCACACACACGAAGTCCGGATTTCTGTAATACTTCAACTTTACTTTTAGTTTTATTACTAAGAGTTTTATGATATAAAACCCAGTTAAAACAAGGTAAATTTGATTCGCTTTTGGCTAAAGAATCAAGAATCACTTTTAAAGTTTTTGTTTTTCTGCTGGCAACAGGTGAGCAAATTAGGGTAGTAGTGGGTTCCTCACTCGTGAAATCTGGATAAGCTTCTGGGGCATTCTCTATTTCCTTAATATTAATATTATTTCTGAATAAATTTACAAGTAGACGTGGATGTTTTATAGCCTTGGCTATTCTTTCATCCAATTTCCATTTAGGCTTTTCTTTTGATTCGATTTTGTCTGATACCTTATTGAAGCTAAGACCCTTGTGATCTGGTTTATATTGTTTTTGGTGATAACACTTAAGTATAAAATGTCTATTTTGTCGAATAAATCCATAAAGTTGATCTTTTTCATGTTTGATATCACATATAGTGCACTCTTTACCGATTGTGCTTCAAAGTTGATAAATCCTTTCTCGGTTCTTCCAATCTGAAGCTACCTATATTTTGCAATAACTAGATTAGCTCTTTTAATCAGAGCATTTTCATCATTGATAGGTTGATATTTCTCCTTTGTTGGCTTCTCATCAGAAAAGGTTCGTGGCCAGATTACAGAGTAATTCTCTTTGGGTTGAACTAAATAATCCTCTAGTTTTTTAAATCTATTTTTCACAGAAGAGATAGCAGGCCTTTTTATATATCCTTCTTTGGCCGATCTAAGGAGCCAAAGATTAAAGTGTGATTTGTAAAATCCAATATCAATAAATTTGGAATAAGGTTCCCCAACTGATTCAATGACTTTTTCTACAAAACCTTTAAGGTCTCAATAATCAATAAATCGAGTATGAGAGTAAATAATATGCCAGCTACATTTCTTAGCATTTGATGAACTTGCCAAAACAAAGTTATTTAATAATACTATACAACCTAATGTGGAATATAATGTATCTGCACAAGCAACTAAAATTCGAGATAACAAATCTTCTTGTGTAATTTTTTTATTGTCTAAGGAAAATACTTCAGGATTTGTAGGGTCAGGCTTTTGCCTTGCATCAATATCAATAATCAAACGAAGAGGCTGGTTACCATCAATACATT